ACTTCTGTGTTGACATGAATTATCATTGATATGGTAATAACTATGAATTAACTGTTTACAAAACTTTACATTTTTGAAATACTAAGGCTTTTCTACCTCAGGAATAGATTACCTTAGCTGTATTTGGCAAAACTTTTAGGAATTTTTGGTCCTCAATGCTCTTCAACTTCGTACTGTATTTGGCCTTTTTAAATTTTTTTTATTCGAGCGTCACTGATGAGTCTTTTGTAGACGAAACGCGCATCTGGCGCAAATACAAAATTCAATCCTGGTATCTATGATGAGATTATTGGAAACAGGATATTTCTTTGATTTCATGAATTGATATTTTTTGTTATTACATTTGCTGTATATTTTTTTTCACTAGCATACCAAAGACACATATATAAGAATTAGTTGTTGTGTTTACAAACGTAATACATATGTTGTATGCACATTATGTGATTGGCTTCTTTGTAATCATTCACACAACTCAACACAACTATTTGATTGCACGTAGTGTCAGTTTGCCCTAACAACCACATACATCATATCTGAGAGGAGCCATTTTTTGGTATTGCTTTTAGACTGATTTTAAAACAGATTTTACGATTAATTAATGCTTGTACACACACAAACATGTGCATTTATTTGTCTTAGCCTGAACACGTCAGCTTTCGCGGTAAATAAATATGTAGAATAGGACTAATTGACAGTTTTATTTGACTGGAATACCTTAAGAAAAATCATTGGAGCTATAGTCAGCAACGTTTGAAAAATTTACTCATTTGAAACAATCCTCCTGAAAATACATTGAATATTTACCACAAGGTATAAACAGAACCAGCAATCAATCAACATGTAAAAACAAAGGACCGTTTGGGAAAAACCTTGATCACCTTATAATTCAATACGACGGACTTGCGTTTTGTCTACATAAGACTGACCAGTGGCTCTCCAATCAAACCAATTGAAGGAAAAATAAATAACGAGGCTGAAGAGCACTGAAAGTAAAAAAATAACATCTAAACATTTATGTCAAATCAAGCTATCTATACTTTGGGGTTAAAAAAACTTTGGGAACCAACTGTGATCCTCTTCTTGTCGATTTTATCCTTTATTCATATATATTTATATATATATATATTTACGTATGAGGCTGACTTCATGCAGAAGCTTCTTAGGAAGAAAGAAGAGAATATAGCATTATCCTTTAACTTCACTTTCCGCTATAAAGATGATGTAATCTCACTAAATAATTCAAAGTTTGGTGACTATGTTGGACGCATCTATCCCATCGAACTTGAGATAAAGGATACAACAGATACAGTAAATTCTGCCTCATATCTTGACTTACATATAGAAATTGACAATGAGGGTCGGTTGAAAACAAAACCTTACGACGAAAGAGATGATTTCAGCTCCCCAATTGTGAACTTTTCATTTCTATGTAGCGCTTGCATATGGAGTATATATCTCCAAGTTGATACGATATTCCAGGGCTTGTATTTTGTATCATGATTTACGTAATAGAGGGTTGCTGGTCACATGTAAGATATTAAACCAAGAGTTCTAAGTAGTTAAGTTGAAATATGCCTTCAAAATTTTACGGACGCCATCACGAGTTGGTTGACCGTTATGGAATATCTGTTTCACAGATGAAAACTAATATGTTCAAATTGTGTGAGGTGTGTGTCACTCTCTCAAGGAACCTTAGCAACAATTGTCTAACGTTTTCGTGAGTGGCATGTAGCTAGGAAAATCCCCTTATTCAACATTCATAACTTGTATTCCATTTTCAGTTCAAATGTCCCGCCCTTCATCACAGTGGACCTTCCTTGCTAGACCAACTAATGGTATTAGTTGTTAATGTTTTTTTCTTCTCCTAAATATTTATGAAATACTTGTTATTTGACGTTAGGCAATCAATCATCACAGGAGTCCAGACTACCGGGATAGTTATACTTTTGTTCATGAAACGTTCTCTAGCAATGACATCTACCATTCGGTTGTGAAAAATAATCAAAGAGAACAGGCTTACAATTAAATATGATAGAACTGCGTTATGTCTATATAAGACTTATAAGTGGTGCTTAAACCAAAATAATTCGAAGGCCAAATGAATAACGAAGTTGATGAGCAGTAAAAGAAATATTTGCAAAAAAACTGTGCCAAATCAGGCCAATGTCATCTATTCCTAATGTTTAGTAATAGTAAATGTACAGAAAATGACCAAATCATTGATATGTCATGTTACCACATGCGCATTGACAACGTGGTCGGGTATACCCACATAGACGAAACAAAGAGCTTTCCCGCTATTTCTGGTGTTTCCACAACAAGCAAGCAGGAATATCATACATTTGACAAATGTGTACTGTATATAAAATGTAAAATATTTACAGACCTGCCTGCCATTCAAATCATTGAATATAAATTTTGTATTTTCATCGTTCTGTTACCGTATTTCAACCTTATTATTCATAGATTTACCACTGCAAATATTGAACTTTTTTGCATTGAATAAATAAATGATATATAAAAATAAGATGGGGTATAAATGCCAATAAGACAACTCTCCACCAGAGACCAAATGAAATAGAAGTTAACAACTATAGGTCACCGTACGGTCTTCAAGAATGAGCAAAACCCATACTATACATATACATAGTCAGTTATGAAAGGCCCCAATGACAATTCAAACGAGAAAACTAACGGCCTAATTTATGTACAAAACAATGAACGAAAAGCAAAAATATATACAGCATCAAATGACAACCACTGAATTACAGGCTCCTGAATTAGGACAGGCACATACAGAATGTGGCGGGGTTAAACATGTTTGGCGGTTACCAAACCCTCCCCCTAACCTGGGACAGTGGTGCAACAGCACAATATAGGACAATCTGTACAAAACAATAAACGAGCAACAAATATGATACACAGATACGAAAAAAGAACCACTGAATTACTGGTTCCTGACATGGGACAGCCACATATAGAGTGTGTCGGGGTAAAACATATGTACTGCAACCCAACCCTCCAGATAACCCGGAAAAGTGGTGTAACAGCTCAACATATGACCAAACTATAAAAATCAGTTGGAAAAGGCTTAACTCATCAAATCGATACAAAGCAGAAAACAAGTAACAAAAACACAGACCAGACGTGGCATGGGTATTTATACATCCTCACAACAAAAAAGACACGAAGTACAGATCTGAGAGTACTCTCAGTTACTGACAGCTAGTTCATCGCCAATATGAATTGCGAAATAAACTTGTATTATTGCTTTGAACTCTGGTAGATAGTTGTCTCATTGGCAATCATGCCACATCTCCTATTTTCAAAAGTGTAGTATGATATTGATTTCATTGTAAAAAATCCGTTTTTTTTTTCAAATTACTTTCATCGGATCATAAAAACCACAAATGCTTGCATATTAGTCAAAGTCATACAACGTCAACTTTGCCTGATTGAGTTTTTGCATAATAATTGATAAAATAAAAATCAATAATACAAATTCCTCAACCAAGTCATGTAAGTAACGAAATACTGACTAATGTACAAATGGGTACCGTAGGACTGACGTTTTTGAGCACAAACACCGATCCAGTGAAAGTACAATTTAAACTTTGTTGGTGCTAACAAGTCGCCATGTTTTCAAAAGCTTATCAAACTGTAACAAATTTAAGTTTAACCAACCAGTATCTTCAATTCTTATTAAAAGACGACAACTGAAAAATTTAATTCGGCATTATGCTTATACGTAAATATACCATCATACTCAATTAGTCCTTTCTCTTCTGATGTTTATCAGTTTACTGCGTATGATGAAAGGTCATACCATTGCATACCATCATCTGGTGTTTAAGTTCAACAATACTTCAGAGCTTGACAGTTTCAACACTATACGCATTTACTGCACGTCTTCGTTGTTAACACATTTTAATCTCAGTTTATATAATGGCTACAACCTATGCAAGACAGTTTTGTCAAAAACATTGTTATTCGACAAATCTGCTACCATTTTAATGCACATGTCACCTTAGATTTATAGAAATCATAGGGTTAATCTTTTGAAATAAAATAGTCGTCTATCATATAGAAATAAAAGAATTTAATTTAGTTTTGTAACTTTTCAGCGTTGGAAAAGCAACCAACTGTTTTCAAGCAAGTTGCGCTTCTACTCTTCAACTGTTTCGGTTTTTATAGATCAGTGGCTCTCAAATACTTGGCTTTGAGCGTGCCTGATGAAAATTTATCAATTAAAGCGCTTCGGACGCATGAAATTTATAAAGTGCTATTATTTCATTTTTTTTGGGGGGATCTTTGCAAATGTGTTACTTCATTTGTATTCATAATCCATAAACCTAAGAAAGCATTCAGTTTTTGATTTTGTTTTTTAATGCGCCAGTGACGTGTTATTATCATACATATCTCGTTATTCATTTAAATTGCTATTGTCTTAGACATTAATATAGACTGCTGATTATTAAATGGAACCAATAAAATAATCGATATAATGTTTATATCAAAATAAACAATTATACTATTTGACCTTGAAAAATAGATTCTGGGGTGCAATTTATTTTAAATGAAAACTTTTACGAACATAAATGGGTCAAACTTATTGACAATGTTTGAACGAAACACGCAAGACATTAATCAAACTGAATTTTTTTTATTATCTTTGAGAAGGAATTTATATAAACGTTCATGATTTTCTGTACTGGTTGATGGTGTATTTGAAAAATCACCATCTTCGTCTACTGTCACAATGTCTGTAGCTTTTGCGTTCTTATGAAGCGGACTTGGCCCATCACATACATTCAAAGGAAAACTGTTTAACACTCTAGGAGCATGGCGATTAATTTTTTTAAAGCAGTTAAAATGTAATAGAAGAGCAGTTTTTACCGCCCTGTTTTTAGAAATATAAATACATGGATGATATATGACAGATGATTTTGCAATCAAAGCAGGAATAGTTGCTACAAACGGAGACATTCCTTTTGTCCAACCAATCATGGATGCTACACAGTGAATGGCATAAGGTGACCAGGCTAAACTAAAAACACCTACAATAAAGTAAATTGTGGGATTACAAATGCTAGTGCATAAATATCTAAATCATCAGCCTATAAGTACTATAAACGATGCTGATATTTTAGTTTTAGATGCATAATTTGTTTTATTAGTTGTTATTGGCTTTGAACTATAGCTGTCAGTAACTGCGAGTACTCTCAGATCTTTAATTAGTGTCATTTTGTTGTGGGGATCTATAAGTACCCGTCCACGTCCACTATGTGTGTTTGTTAGATGTATTTCTATCTGTATCCATCAGATGTGTTAAGCCTTTTTCAACTGATTTTTATAGTTTATACTTCTTATGTTGTACTGTTACACCACTGTTTCAGTTTAGGGGAGGGTTGACGCCTTCAAACGAGTTTAACCCCGCCACATTCTGTATGTGCCTATCCCAAGTCAGGAGCCTTTTAATTCAGTTGTTGTCGTTTTTTGCTGTGTATAGATATTTGAAGATGTGGTATGAGTGCCAATGAGACAACTCTCCATCCAAGTCAAAATTTATAAAAGTAAACCATTATAGGTCACAGTACGGTCTTCAACACGGAGCCTTGGCTCACACCGAACAGTAAGCTATAAAGGGCCCCCAAAATTACTAGAGTAAAACCATTCAAACGGGAAAACCAACTGTCTAATCTATATAAAAAACGAGAAACGAGAAACACTTATGAACCACATCAACAAACGACATCTGAACATCAGATTCCTAATATTTGTTTTTTTCATTTTTTTGTACATAAATTAGGCTATTAGTTTTCTAGTTTAAATTGTTTTACATTTGTCATTTGGGTCCTTTTATAGCTGACTATGCGTTGCAGGCTTTTACTTATTGTTGAAGGCTGTACGGTGACCTATAGTTGTTAATTTCTGTGTCATTTGATCTCTTGTGGAGAGTTGTCTCATTGGCAATCATACCACATCTTCTTATTTTTATATATGTGTAGTTTGAAGAAACATATTATTCACTCCCCAAGTCGTACTTTTTTAGTATTTGATATGGAGAAGAGGTAGCATCTCTGCCTTTGTAAGCTATGTCCTAAATATTTCATATTCAAAATGGTACGAAACTGAAAAGTGAAAATCGGCAACAAAGCGAAAGAGATGTGTTGTTTTTTATTTATCATGATATTTGTCTTATATTTGTTTACTTGCTTAATAAGCGGTTCTTTCATTTAATGATATAATCTGAGCCATTTGTTTTCGGAACAAAAAAATCAATAATTAGTGATTAAAATAGTGTGGTAAACAAAGATTCAAATATCTGAAACAATGGCTTTAACTGTTTTAACAATACCTATCATTAACAGGATTGTCTTTGTTACTGCCATTTCTCTCTTTAATATTGTCTTTCGATGAGAACTGTATGTGTTGAAGTTCATTGATCTGTGCTTTTCTTTCATCTAAAAAATAAAAGAAGAAAAAATTAATTGACAGATAAATCTTTTTTCAATCTCACTTAAACTATAAAATGTATTAGTAGTTTGATTTGTATATATCTTTCAGTAATCACGAAGGGCATTCACCTTCGTTGTGTCAAAGTACCTCCCATGCTGTTCGTAACAGTATGAGAAACTTATTTTCAAATTCAATATGCTTAGAAAAGGAAGTAATAAGACAGTCAAGATGAAAAATAATGACGTAAACAAGTTTTTGATTACAACTAAATGTTCTGCTTATGTTGGGTAAAAAACGGAACAGTTGTCTCTGAAGTGCCAGCTATTGAAATAACTGTTTACACAACTTTGAATTAATCGAAATCCTAAGGATTTTCTACCCCAGGAATAGATTTCAGAAGTTGTATTTGGCGAAACCTTTGGAATTTTGAGTCCTTAATACTCTTCAATTTCGTACTTTATTTTGCCTTTTTATCATGTTTATTAATCCTGGTAAATAGGATGAGTTTATTTATATATTTATCAATAGAATTAATATTAAACAAAATTTTCTTGAAGTTTTTCGTAATTAAAACACGAATATCAACTTAGGTAAATTCGCGTAAACGTCAACCCATTTGTTCTATACCTGTCGCGAAAGCAAAAGAAGGTCTTCCATGTTGTACTAGAGAGTACCTACACTTTATATCAGAGAACATATGGTTTCATCAAATTGGTATATGTGTATAAGATATCATAGCATGAAGAATATTTTTTTTTTTAATGTATATATATTTCAAACATAATATCAGGCGCGCAGCTACGTTTACGTCAAAACGCCCGGGCGTGCACATGAATTTTGGAGAAAATATATTTTAATCCAAATAAATAAGAAGAACTGGTTAAAAGCACAGGAGTTTTATAATGCTTTCTTCAATGACTTGTAATTGAAGACAAAAGTGACGAAATTTACTTTTTACTCAAATGGTATCATATTACATATTTGTTCATTTTATGTCAAAGTCTGTATCTACTGTAAATTCTATTCAGTTTACTCTTGTTTGAAGCAATTCATTATCTGTTGAAATACGATAAGTGGCTTGCATTTTTATGTTACACCTGACCATCAATGAAAATTGATTATTTCAAATTTGCGCGTAAAAGGGTGAGAAAATTAGATAGATTAGATAAAGTCCAAATAATTAATAGAACGACAACATTGAGATGGAGACTTGCTTTTTATACTATCTCTACAAAGTTTTGAATATTTTGTCGATTGTTTTACCCCACATCTCCTTTTAAACATATTTTAAAGTATCTGGTTTGGATTTTTTTTTTCTCTAAAACAAATGGCCATTAAATTCTAAATCCACACAATGAAATTTGTTTCCAAAAAAACCAAACTGGACTATAAAAGTGAGACGAAAGATACCAAAGGGATATTTAAATTCATCAGTCCAAAAAAAAAAACTGACAATACCATGACAAAAATAAAAAACGATGAAAAGACAAACAACAGTACAAAACACAACGTCGAAGACTTAAGACTGAGTAACACAAACCCCAAACAAAAACCGGAGGTTATCTTAGATGCTCCGGAAGGGTAGACAGATTTTGCTCCACATGATTCACCCGTCGTGTTGCTCATGTAAGTACGAACCCTCTAATAATTCTAATTCGGTAGGTCACATTGGAGGAAAAGATGACGGGATAGTGGTTACAGCAAATTGGAACATATCCGTCGTCACCTGTAAAACAGAAGCCCACCTCCGGGTGCGGGATTTTCTCGCTGTATTGAAGATCCATTGGTTGGGCTGTTTTCTGCTCTTTGGTCGGGTTGTTGGCTCTTTGACGCATTCCCCGTTTCCATTCAAAATGTTATTCCATAACGGTCAACCAACTCGTGATGACGGCCGTAAATATTTTGAATGAAAGATTTCAACTTCACTATTAGGACCTTTGGTTCAATAGCTTCCTTGTAAGCAGCAACCCACCATCAAGGAAATCACGATAGGAAACGCAAGCTCTGGAATTTCGTATCAGCTAGGAGATATATACTCAATATGCAGTTGCTGCTGGTATGTTGCTACATAGAAATGGAAATTTCACAATTGGGAAGATGAAATCATCGTAAAGTTGTTGATTTTGATGAGTTTTTAATAATAGAAATTGTATCTCTTTCTCGATAACGCGTGATCATCAGAGGGTTTCGTACCTCACTAGGGTGTCCTCTGTCCTGGACCCGCTGGGGCCCCCAGACCCCTCCTCGAGGTTCGGGCGTGAACGTAAAAATGGCCTAGCTACGCAACTGTAATTTATGTCTATTACGATTGTATAAGTACGCGGCCATCGCATAATGTAGTCTGATTTTGAAAATAAGAAATAATTTTGATTTGGCAGATGTAGGGATGTAAAAATGGCAGTAGTAGCCTACACAAAAACGATAAAAATTGATAAATGATTAAAGTATCTATTTCACACATATGCCATTATCAAATTTTTGCCTCACTTTCAGATTCAATTTAAATTGAAGTAGTTGTTATATCACTGTACATAACAGAAGGCAACATAATATGAATGAAAGAGGGACGAAAGATACCAGAGGGACCGTCAAACTCATAGATCGAAAACGAACTGGCAACGCCATGGCCAAAAATAAAAAGACAAACAGACAAATAATAGTACATATGACACAACATAGAAAACTAAAGACTAAGCAACACGAACCCCACCAAAAACTGGGGGTGATCTCAGGTGCTCCGGAAGGGTAAGCAGATCCTGCTCCACATGTGGTACCCGTTAAGTCTTCAAAGTCAAATGATTAAATCGGTTTTGTAAATTTCTTTGTTTATTTCGCACTGTAACTTTATCTATGTTGTTTGCGAACTCGTACAATCATTTATCTTCAATTTTTTTTTAATTTTTTTTTTTTTTTTTTTTGGCAGAGGTAACTAAAAGGTCCATTGGGTATTATGTTCAAATTTGCTATCAAAATAAAATGAAAAAATAGGAAAGAGAAGGAAATAAATTGATAAAAATCACTGTAACAACTGGTCAGGAGTTGTTTTTTTATAATTCTGCACAACATAATTGCAAATTCAAAAATATTGATTATGGTCGAGGATCGGTCATTGTATTTCACGCTACTATGCTTATAGTGTTGCGGACAGTTGAATGGTGGTTGTGTTAATAAAACAACTTCTCTTGTATGAGTTTGATAATGACATATTTTACTATTAAAGAGACCTACTGGCCAAATTTTTATATTATTGTTCGTATAACAACAAGAAAAAGATAGGATACAGATTCATCAACCAACTGTGTTATTTGGTTTTATAATAATCTATTTTTGAAGAAAAAGGCAGCGATACACATGTAACTACTGTATGAGGTAGCGACACATATGTGACTACTGAAGGAGGTAACGACACATATGTAACCACTGAAGGAGGTAGCGATACATATGTAACTACTGAAGGAGGTAGCGATACATATGTAACCACTAGAGGAGGTAGGATAAAGGTTAGCGTACTGCAGACTACAATCCTATATGTATGTACAAGATAAAAACAGAGATGTGGTACAATTGCTAATGAGACAACAGAGTCCAAATGTCGTTTAAATTAAGCAATTATAGGTCACCGTACGGCCTTTAATTATGAGCAAAACCCATAGCTAATAGTCAGCTATGAAAGGTCCCGACATGACAAAATTTGAAACAACCTAAAAGAAATAAAACACAACGGTATGATTTATAGTATGAAAATAAACGAAAAACAAATATGACCAATAGCAACCAACGGCAACCACTGAATTACAGGCTCTCGGTTTAGAAGAGGTGCATATAGAATGCGGTGGTGTTAAACATGTTTGCGAGAGTTCAAACCTCCCGTACCTTGAACAAGTTCATTTTTGCATTGATATCCTTCAATAAGTATGATATCATCATATATTTAGTTGTTTCAGTTTATAACAACTTTTATGTAGAGAAAATCAGTATTGCTTTTTTTTCTTTCGTCAAAAACGAACTGTTATCTATAGTCCCCATACACAAAATATGAGTTGAGCAAAATTAAGTTCCCTAAATACATTCTCTGTGTATTTATTTTGTACTGTGGAATAAGTAACATTCACTAAACCCTGAGCCTTATGCACAATCTTTATGGAATGCCGTACTTTGACTTATAATTGTTTACTTTTTACACATTGTATAGAGAGTTGTCGCATTGGCACTCATACCACATCTTCTTATTCATATTTAACGAAACTATAAACAACTACCATACTAGTGGAAGGATAAGCTAGCTATAAAACCAGGTCTAATCCACCATTTTCTTCGGAAAATGCCTGTAAAAAGTCAGGAATATGGCAATTGTTTTTCACTTGTTCCGTTGGTTGATAGCGTTTGATTGATGTCAGTTTTTATGGAGTTCAACTTATTGAATTTGTCTTGGAGTTCGGCATTTTTGTTATACAGTTTTTTTCTTATTTGTTCTAATCGATAAATAGATTGAACTTAAATGAAATGAGATAAGGAACAAACATTATTTTGATAGTTATGACAATGCAAGAAATAAAATAAGCCTTGAGGAAATTCAGACAACTGTCATACACGTGGGAGGTTTAGCAAGCTATGGTTTCACCCCCCATTTCCTTTAGGAAATGCCTATACCAAGTCAGGAATATGACAGATGTTTCCATTTGTTCCGTTGGTTGATATAGTCTAAAGTTTGATTTTGACAGGTTTTATGGACTTTACCTTTTTTGAATTTGCTTTAAAGTTCGGTATTTTTGTTAATTTTTTTTCCAGACTGTTTGTGTTAATTTGTTCTTGTCTTGAATATGCATGAAATGGTAGCTATTGGACGTTACGCAAGCAAAATCAATAAATCAAATTTAATATCTCTTAGATTCCTTAACAACCTAATTTTCAGGAAGACAATACGGAGGGAAGCATTAGTCTACTGAATTTAAAATATGCGTTTAACAGGTGCAAATACATTGATTGGATCTAACGAGTCGCTTAT